TTGGCTCTATGGGATTTTCGATTATTGATGTTTTTGGAAAGTAAGTCGGCAGCATTTTCTTTTAAGGCACCTCTGGGTGGGCTTGGATGAGCATCCTTTTGGCTAGTCGCCGAATGTGTTCACCGTCTGCCCACCCAGGGACTTTGGAGCGATTGGTCAGTGTTGGCTGCCTTTGGCTTGGATCAGCCTGAGGACGCGGTGTAGAGCAGGATGAAATGCGGCCCACTCCTGCACACGCCCGTGCCCTCTGACCCGTTTGCCCTCATCGTTGTGGTTAGTGTGTGAGTCCATCTCATTGGGGTGTCCCTGAGTTTAGTTGTCTCCCCACTTCATCACATAGACGCCCTTCATTTAGATGCAGTCATCTCGAGTTCTTCCTTCTCTGGATCTCGGCTCCAGACATGTTACCACTGCCTTGCAATTCTTCTCAATAAATTGACTGTTTGAGCTGTTCCCAGTGAGAAATTTGGGTGATCACCATCCAATTGTCTAGTTCCAGATGGCAATGGCCATCTTTCTAACTCTGTACTCAGAATGCTATTTCTTGATTTAACATTTTAGACAGTGTCCATTGATTTTACACATTGTAGATGAACATGAACAGTCTTCCACATGTACCCCATATTCTCCCCGCTCCCCTGGACACATGTCAGGGTTGGAAATCTGAAGCCACATTTATCTTATAGTCTACCAAGACGATATACAATAGTATCCACCACAGACTCATGTGATGGGCAAGCAATGCCTGAAGTCAGTTGTATTTCAGGCAAAAGGTGAGATTCCCTTTGAAGATCACAACTGGTCCAATCAACATCCCAGCCTTTCCAGAAGTTTCCATTTCAAATGGAGTGAGCAGTAGCCATTCTTAGATTTAATCAGAGGGACCCTGAAGGACCAGGCTATGGGGTGTATGGGTTTGCTGAGGCCTGACCTAGGGCTGCTATGGGGTGAAGGCGCAGGTGCTTTAGGAAGTGGGGCACCTCAGCCCGCCGACCACCCCGACGCCATCTCACTTCCCCTCTGACTTGCCTTTAGTGGGATACACAGCAACTCCTGCGAAGTGCTAGCCACTTTGGGAAAATGGCTTCAGAAAGTATCTCAACTGCTGGGTCTGATGGTAGACCAGAAGAAGGACGATAAGAACTCCAGAAACTCAGGACTCTGAAAAAACACGGTACATTTTTGGGAAGACAGTAGAATGACAGGCTGGATTCAGGGGGCCTGGCATGTGTGAGGTGAACTAGTCTTCCTCCAACCCCCACCCCTCCCACCCCCAAGTCTCTAAAAAATGGCAAAAGGGGGCTTTAAATGTGTCATCAGCAGGATTCCCTATTTGTGTTTTTTTAAGTAAGAGGATTAGCAAGAAGCCGGGGGATTGATTGCTTTCCAGGGTCATCTGTCTTCCCAACTTGTTGGTGCCGTGAATACACTTGAGCTTGTTATTTCCCACGTCCCGGGTTTGGGCTGGAGAAGGCAGTCACGATGGGCCACCCAAAGTCAGTGGGGTGTGTGCTAGTATAGCGCACGCTCCTCCCACTAGGGCTGGTGACACCTCGTCAGGGGTCCTGCTCTTGCAAAAGCCTCTGAGGAGACAGCGTCATTAGGTCATGGCTGACCCCCACCGCCGAGTCTGGAAAGGCACTCTATGGTGGATGCTGGTGGGTGAGCAGGCGTGGCAGGGCAGACTGAACTGAGACCAACGAGACAGGAGGCTTTCTCCCTAATCCTGAAATGTACTCAGCACCACTGGAACATGTCAGCCCCCGCTGACCAACGGCTGGTCGCTGCACATAAGGTGCGTTCTGGTCTCACGTTTGTCAGGTGAGAATCTACCACCCCACCACGGCTTTTGCCCTTACAGAATGAGTGATTTCATTTCTCAGCATCCTTTCCCACCAGTTTTCTCATTCCACTTTCACACGCGCACACACACTATGTATAGGTGAAGAGGCTTGCCCGGGTTTCACAGCAGAGCTGGGCAAGGCTGGTTCGTTCCATGGTTCTCAGGCCAGGTTTCCTATGAGCCGGAAGTGGGCAGGGCTCCCACTTCAGAGCCAGAGCTATCTTGTTCTCCCCTTCCCCCCAGCTGGGCCTCCACTGCAGGGTGGGACCCATATCCTGTATTACTCACTCATTACATGGCCCTGCTGGAAATCTAGGTCACGGGGGACAGTTCCTAATTCTGAATGATTGACAGGAAGCCTGCCTGGCTACAGAGATGTGGAATTAAAAATGCACGCACAGAACAGCAGCCAACACAAATTTATTGCGTACCCATGGTGTACAAATCACTGTAGTAGACCCTGCAAAGAATTCGTGCATTCATTTTGTACTTAAAAAAACTTTTTTAATCCACTTCCATTATCCCTGCTGGTTATACATGAACTATCACCCTGTATTTGGATGTGTTGTACTTATTTTTATCTTGGATACCAAGTGTGTTCGAGTATAATAATCCGTTTTGCTCTCTTGTCGTCTTTGAAATTTCACTTGGTTTCTCTTGAAGTAGGCTCTGTTCTTGACAACTTTCACAAAACTCATCCTGTGGAACCCAAGTCTATAACTCTCTATGGGAGTAGAAAGCCTCATCTTTCATTAGCAGGCCAATTTGTAAGAGTTATACCACAGGCTCCTTCCAGGGTCTCAGATGATACTAATTTGCTGCTGCTGCTGTTGTGTGAGTCCTGGTGGTGTAGTGGTTATGTGATGGGCTGCTAACCATAAGGTCCACTGGTTGAAACCACCAGCCCCGCTGAGGGAGAAAGATGAGGCTTTCTACTCCTGTAAAGAGTTACAGCTTGGAAACCCACAGGGGCAGTTCTTCCCTGTTCTATAGGGTCGCCAGGAGTCGGCACTGGCTTAACGGCAGTGAGTGAGTTGAGGGGTTGCTGTGTGTCCCGGAGTTGGCTACTCTGACACACAGTGATCCTATGTGTACAAGTGCCCCATTGGCTTTCCTAGGCTGTAGTCTTCACGGGCGCAGAGAGCCAGGTCTCTCTTTCGGGGAGCCCCTCTCATGGGTTTCAGCCTTCAATCTCTTGGTTAGCAGATGAGCACTCAACAGGGTGCTGCCATGATGCCTAGGCTTAGATTGAGGAGGGAGGGGGGATGTGGCTGACTTTATGTCGGAACGTCAAAAATCTCTGGGGGAAAAATTGAATGAAAAGATAATGGAATTTTCCATGAACTTTTGGAAGCTCCATCATATTTTTAATATACCGATGTGCAAAAGGTCACCAAGGAGGATGACCCTGAAGCAACCTTGCCCTCACTAGGCAACCTTCAGCGGAGGGAGTGGTGGGGCACAAGCAGAAGGCAGGGTCTGGATGTAGCTTATAGTCCACAGGATGGGTGGCCACCCATTTGTCACTACAAAGAAGCAGAAAGTAGGAAGTGCTCATTTTAAAGAGAACAGATAACACCATGAGAGTTTTCACAAAGCGGAGAGGACTTGGGCTCAGAGGGATCTCGGGAGGTTTCTCAGGAGGGGTGTGAAGGACTCTACAGGGTGTGGGTGAGCTGAGCAGGGAGGGGTCTGTGTCGGATGGCAGGGGCAGATCGGGTGGTGAGTGTGTGCACATGCATGCCCTGGGGACATGGCAGGATGGGTGTCACAGTGGGCAGAAGACAGTGGCCCTGGGTGTGCTGCCTCCAGACTAAGTTGTGTAGCTCACACTGTGCTCCTTTATCTGGAGAGTGCTGGACTGGGAAGAGGACGGGCATTATTTGTAGCTGGGTGTCCTTGGATGGCCTCTGGGTACTAGCCGAGAGGAGGAAAGGTGTAGTCCACCCAGAGGCACCTCAGAGGAAAGGCTGAAGGTCCCCTTCTGAAAAGGCAGCCACTGGAAACCCTGTGGTGCTGTCCGGTTGCCGTGAGCTGGACGCAACTTGACAGAAACTCGGGGCTGGGGGCTGGGCAGGAGTAGGTGAAGCCACAAGAGCATCTTGATACACCTTCCTGGGTTAAAATTTCTACAAAAACACTTCAATCATTTCTAAATATGAAAAAAAAATAGAGTAAAATGATATATATGGATGTATTATTTTTAGGGTACATTTTTTCAACTTCAAAAAGATTGTGAGCACTTCCAAAAGGTCCCTAAATGTTAGTGCACTTTCATCTGAGAAACACTGATATCACGAGTTCATTTACCTTTCACAGTAGCTCTGTGAGGTAGATACTGATACCCCGCAGACGGAAAACCCCACTTACAGCCTGGGACGTGACTTGACTGGCGTGACCCAGCTAGTGTCTGTCTCCCAAGCCCATGTTCTTTCTGCAGCTTCCTGAGGGGAGGGTAACTCAGGTGTTGTGGTAGGAGCTGAAGCTGCAGCGGTGGGTTGGGGCAAGTTCCTGGAGGATCTGGAATGCTGGGCTGCAATCGAGGTAGCCTGCAAGAGCAGGTTCATGGTCCATGGAGGTGGAAGCAAGCTGTGACCTTGGACTTAAGGTCTATACTATAGAAAGAAACCAAGAGTATGGTGTGGTCACAATAGAGCTGTCCATTCTCATCCTGCTGGAGGCCCTGGTAGTAGAATTCTTGCTGTCATCCACGTGTGGGGCCCTGGAAGTGTAGTGGTTATACATCAACTGCAAGGTCAGTGGTTTGAAACCACCAGTTGTTCCTTGGGAGAAAGATGAGGCTTCCTAGTCCTGTCAAGAGTTTCAGTCTGAGAAACCCACAGGGGTTCTACCCCGCCCTATGGGATCACCATGAGTCAGCAAAAACCAAGTTCTTTTGGTTTGGTTTGGTTTGGCCCATGTAGGAGGCTCAGTTTCTATTCCAGGCCAATGCACCGCTGGTACAGCCACCCCCACGCTGTGACTGAAGCGCACGTGTTGCTGTTGTCTGAACAGGTTTCAGTGGTGCTCGCAGGGTGACTACAAAGGCAGGCCCAAGACTTCCTTCTACAAAGCAGTCAGTGAAAACCTTGTAGATGAAAAGGAAATATTGTCCAATCCACAAGTGAACACCGGGAGGGTGCAGGTCCTGGACGTCTTTCACTTTGGTGTGCACGAGGTCGTCCTGTGTCCGGCTGACTGGACAGCAGCGAACAATATTCTCATCCCAGCCCCTGTGGGACTACCACCTATTCCTGAGATGGAGCTGGCCCTGCACTCGGTGATGCCTCTGGTTCTATGCAGATCCTACCGCACCTCCTCTGTCTGTTTTCTCCGGAGCGTTCTTCTGCAGAGCACCGAGAATTCTGACCCACTGATCAGCCCATTCTTGACCTGAATGCTGGAGAAAGGGGCCAGCCACCTGTGACGCCTCCTAAGCTGCCCTCCTCCCATCGTAAAGCCAGTCCAAGGTTGATTGACCGGGAGGGCTCGGTGTTCTGGAGTCTGAAAGGCCATCGGTAGAGAGGGGAAACCGCCGAATTCTCAGAGTAGACTCCTGGAGAGCACTTGGGTTTTCAAGATCTGGGGTTTCCCCGTAGAGGTCAGTGAGACAATGCATCGTGGTGATTGAAAAGATCAAGAGATTGATGTTTTAAAACCTTATACAAAGAACACCCCCCCACATGGCAACTGAGTGCAAATATGAAATGTATGGCTTGGGGCTCGAGATAAGTTAAAGAGTGTCCTTTTGACTAGGAGATGGTTGCTACCGTTTGCAGTGGGATGCTACTTCCTCTCTTCTGTTTCTTCTCTTTCTTGAGTATTTCCCGAGAGAGTTTATTGAGAAACCATTCCACGTCCTGCATGTCCTCAGGCCACCTCAAGTACTGCTGCTTCTGGATGAACCCTTGGAGGGGCCGGTGCTTCATCAGCTGGTACTGGGACAGGGACCCAACCACCACCACGATGAGGGCACTGCGGAGGTCGGCGAGGCACCTGCTCTGGGCGTAACTGAAGGCTTCGAGGCACCACCCATCTCGGAGAAAGTGTCTGCTCACAAGGCACACAATCTTCCGGCTGCTCCACACGGCGTCCTGGATGTTGACCACATGGTTCTCCCCAGGAACGAAGTCCCTTTCCTCAAAGCACAGGCTAAACCTGTTCTGGTCACTGTACTGAGTGTCCAGGCGCACGAGCAACGCAGACTGCACCCATTCAAAGTCTTTGCTGCTGAAGCACAAATAGGCATCATATTTGTACCTGTCCAGTTCCAGGCGCTGGGGGGAGACCCCGAAGAGCAGTCTCTGGGCCCTCTTGTAACACATGAAACAAACGCCCCGGAACTTTGCAGCTCCGAGGCTCGTCACGAGGACGAGCGTCAACATCACGGTGACAGAGATGAAAAGGGACCACTTTAGGGCCTGGAAGGCTTTCTCTTCGTCACACCCATCCGTGGAAATAGAGTCCAGGGGGACCCCAGCAAATGCCTCGGGGAACATGCAGTATCTGTCCGCAGGAGCACCCCGCAGAGTGGCATTCGTGTGATTGAGCCAGCTGATAAAGGCGCTCAGTTCACACGCACAGATGAACTGGTTATGCCGGAGGTCCACCGCCCGGAGTGAGGCGAACACAGCGGGGTCTGGAGCCAGGAGCTGGTTCCAGGACACGTCCAGGAACTCGAGCTGAGCCGGGAGATCGCCCGGCGAAAGAGACGTCAGCCGGTTGAAGTTGAGGTACAGTTCTCTCAGAGCGGCCAGGCCACTGAACACCCCTGGGGGCAGGAAACTCAGGTGGTTGTTGTTCAGGTACAGAAACTGGAGGTGAGGCAGCCCCTTGAAAACATCCCAACAGAACCCCGTTTCCCAGGCAAGCTGCAGCATGTTTTCTCCAAGGAAGAGCTGTTCTAGGCTGAGGCTCTCTGCGGGGGCAGGGCTCGGGCTGCACGAGGAAAGACGATTTTGGTTGAGGATGAGAATCTGAAGGTGAGGCACTTGGAGAAGAAAGTAGAGGTCGGCTAGATTTTCCAGTCTGTTCTCCGCTAAGTGGATGATGTCGGCCACGAGGCTGATGTGGGACAACTTCACAAGCTTATTGCCACCCAAGTAGATAGTAGGTATGCTGGGAATAATATGGATGGTTTCCAGAGCATTATCCCGGAGATCCAGGGTCTTTAAACTTCCCAGGGACTTAAATGTTTGGTCCTGGATGATCCCAATGTGGTTCTTCCTTAGGTCGACATAGGCCACTCTTGGAAGTCCATTGAAATTTGAGTTATAAAGTTCCCCTAGAAGGTTATGTGACAGGTTGAGAACTTGGAGTCTATCAAGTCCATAAAAGGCTCCTTCTACAATTTTGTTAATCTTGTTGTGGGCCAGGTTTAGAACTTTCAACTCGGTGAGGGTCTCAAAGAGCCGGACGTTGAGGGAGAAGATGAACCCATGTGAAAGGTCGAGCTTGATCAATGAACTCCTGGCCAGGCCAGCGAATGTGCTCTGGTCAGGGTCCTTGAGGTTATGGAAGCCAAACCCTGAGCCCATGATGTGGTGGGAAAGAACCAGAGAGAAAATCTCGCTTCCATTGATGGCATTGCTAAAGTTTCTCATGGTGTCCACTGCCCAGCCATTGTCAGAAACATCGAGGGTATCCAAGACCATATTTTTGAATGGGTTCATGCACTTGCTCCAGTCCACTGAGATTCTGCTGTACAGGTTGTTAGATGCGAGGCTGAAGAAGGAGAGCACCTTACCTTGCAGGGGCTTGAGCTCCCTCTCGCATACCGAAGCGACTTGGTTGAGGGAAAAGTCTATGGACTTCAAGGCATTCAACTCTCGGAAGGAAGGATGGAGGTGAAGGCTGCCAATCTGGTTTTTTGATAGGTCTAGGTGAGCTAAGGAGTCTAAATTTCTGAAATAGCCACCTTTCAACACAGTGTCCGAGAGGCCGCAGTAAAACAGTCGAAGTTCAACAAGATGAGGTAGTCCCTGGAAAGCATCGGGATGCAAGAAGCTGATCTGACTTCTGCCCAGATCCAAGATGGAAAGGTTGGGCAGGTTTCGGAAGGCCTCTTTTTCAATAGTCAAGGGTGTAAACTGGGTCCCAAGTTCCAGCAGCTGCAGCTGCTCCAAGAAGGGGAAGGACGTGGGTGTGATGGTCCTGATCGAGTTGAAGCTCAGGAGGAGGATTTTCATGGTTGGAGGGATGTGGGGAACTTGGGTGAGGTTGCAGAAACGGTATAAGGCTACCCCATGATCAAAGGAGCAGGGAGAGATGCCAAGCGCAGGACCGGTGACGAGCACCACTCCTAAGAGGAGTTCGAGGTGGTCTCTCATGATCCTGTGGGCAAGGGGGAGACAGGAAACACAGGCATCAAAGCTCAAGACATTGCATACGGGGCCTTAGAACTTGCGGGCTTCCTCTATGACGTTCCTGTTCTCCCAGAGCCCATGTTCCTTGGTCTCCATGGATGAGGCTGTAGGCAGATACTGCCTGGTGCAGACAAATCTGGTCTCATTCTCTTTTTGTCAAACATTTACATCACCTTTTTACAGACGAGGCACAATCCTGAGGTCTCTCCTATGCATTACACTAAAGCCTGGTGATCTGACCCCCCCCCCCCACCAGTAGCGTAGTAAAAAACCAGCTTCCATAAGGGTTCTCACTGTCATTGAGTCAATTCCAACTCATAGGACAAGGTAGAACTGCCCCTGTGGGTTTCCGAGACGGTTACCTGTTGATAGGAGTAGAAAGCCACATGGTTAAGTGTTCATAGGAGTAGAAAGCCACATCTTTCTACCACGGAGAAGCTGGCAGTTTTTGAACTGCTGACCTTGTCATTGCCACTCCAACGCGTAACCCTATGCCACCAGGCCCCCGTGTAAGGACTGTAGCCAAGAAAATCCCACGAAGCAGCACCCCGCTCTGTAGCACATGCTGTCGCCATGAGTTTGCTCTCGGTTTAGGCACTGCTCAGGGGACTTTAAAACCATGTTCTAATTTGAGTTCACAGCATGGCAGCTGAAGCTTTGGGCTGGTCGGGAACAACCTGGCAGTCCTCTAGATGAGGCCGTCTCCTCCTGCAGAGAAATACTGCTTCAGAAACCAGGGCAGCACTTCCACTCTGCCCTGGTGGGTGGCCATGAGCCGGAACGGCAATGGGTTTCGGTTTGCTTCTTCCTCCGTTGACTCGTTTATTCAAGGTTCACGAAAGAGGTGGGTGAAACCGGCAGAAGAGACGCCTGGTGCTTCCCATCCTCAGGCTCGAGTCCAGCCCCAGGGTATGTGGCACGTCCCCGTGGGCCCCACTGATTTCCCCCGAAGCTGGCTGGGGGACGAGCGCTCAGGCCACCCAGGCTTACTCCACTCACAGCACATCTCTTCATGCCTAAATGGGGCACTGTAAGCGCTCTTCACAAAGCGCACAGTTTCATCAGCGCCATAAAGATGGCCATGCAGTTCGGAGGCGGCGTGCATGTTTCGAAGCCATTGGTCTTTCAACTACCAGCAGGGTCGCCCATCGTGGGCTGAGATAGACTCGCAAGAAAGGCCTGATTACCTGCTTCTAAAAACGAGCCACTGGACCGCATATACCCTGATGCAATGCTGAGAGGTGAGTACTCTGCGTTGGAAGGCTCTATCCAGTAGCCTCAAACACGCCAGCATTTGTGACCATGCTGGAGGGCTTGGCGACACTTTGTTTCGTTGCACACGGGGTCTCCGGGCATCGGAGCCGGTTGGATGGCGACTAGCAACAACAGTAAAACTCTACTGAGCACCTACTGCATGGCTGGCCATTGTGTTGGCCAGTAGCGTGAGAACGTGAGCGTGAACAAGAAACAAATACTAGGCTGCTTGGGTAAAATGGGGCGGTGCATGGCATACCTGGGGCGAGTTAGCTTCACAAGTGCAGTAGCAGTAAGTGTGTTTGGCTTATGCTCTAGGGATTGTTCTGGGTGCTGGGAGGAGCACAGGGGTCCCAGCCGCCAAGAGATCAGAATCCACCATTTGTACAGCACTGCCCTCTTTAGGACCCATGATGCCTTCGATGTACTCTAAATTTACTGTTTTACAGGGATTCTGTTAGAACCCTCCTCAAGGAGAGGGCTGCCTTCCTAGGAGCACAACAGGATGGAGGAGGAAAAGCAGCATACAAACAAACAAACAAACAAAAATGGAAGGGAGGCACTGGTTTCTAAAGAGCATCAACTTCATGAAAAGCCTATTGGCAACGGCCCCAGTGCCAGAGTAGAATAATAACAGAATGCCACAGTTGTCTGCATAAAACCCTTCCTCTCCTTCCCACTGCACGAGGGGAAGGTCCTGCAAGGAGTTACATCGTCTGTATCTGCTCCATGACCCTCTGGTGGCCAAGCAGGTTACACAGTGAACTGCTAACCTCAAGGTCAAAGAAGAGGCTTCCTATTCCTGCCACGTTCCAGTCTCAGATACCCACAAGGGCAGTTCTACCCTGTCCTAGAGGGTTGCTGAGTTGGCAACAACTTGATGGCAGTGAGTATGGAGTTTGGGGTATCTTTCCTGGTTCTTCAACATCACCTTTATGTGTTTTCTACCTTAGTAATCGACGGTACATATTTATTTGGCACCTGCAGTCTGCTAGGCATTGTTTAGGAGCCTAAGATCCAGCAGGGAGCCTGCCTCCAGGCCAAGAGCCCCTGGGGGCTGCCAAGAGCAAAGTCACTTGAATTGGAGACTCAAGTCCACCTTGAGATGCCATCGAAGCAGCAGCAGCTCCGAAAACCGTCTGGACCAGTCCTACTATCACATATGGGGTCGCACCTGGGGCCTTCATGAGCCATTTTTGGTCACCACATTATCATCTCCGCTTACTGGGGGATGTACATCCCCATAATCATGACAACTAAATCCGCCCGCCCCCACCCCCCCCCACACACACACCAACAACTTTCCAAAAGGCACCTTAAAGGGGAATGGAACCATTTGCACAACCGCAGGAATCCAAATGCATGTGACAGTCCCCAACAGCACCCAGACAGCGGAGGGTGGTCCGCCAGGCATCCCCAGAGGGGAATAACCTGTTGCAAATGACCTCAGAAGTCAACACGTTGTTTGTGTGCACATGTGCTGTTTTTTAAAATGTGCTATTTTCCAGGAATGCAGCCACCTTGTATACCCAGGAAAGCTGGTCCCTTGTTCTCTTTGGCATCTTACCAAGAACGGTTCACCATCCCGGAAAATGACTTCGCTGGTGCCACCGCCTCGGTGATTATTGACTGGGGATCCCCAACAGCAGCCCCCACAGCCACATTCACGTCTGCCCATCTGAGCAGATTCATAGGGCCCTTATTCCGAAGTGCCAACTTTCATGAACTTGAAGATTTGCCAGCTGGATGTCATTTGACATCTCTTAAGTCCAAATTTATTCGTTGTAAGGAGTCTAGCATAGTTGTACCCAAGCATTCACTGTGGAGGGATTGACATGCGTGTTAATTCATTGTAAATTGCTCTCCTTTTTATTTTTATCTCTCTCTTTTTCCCTGACCCTTAAGCAAAGCCTTGCTTCCCTTAAAATGACACAGGGAGATCCTAAGCCACTAAACCTTGCTGTCGAGTGGATTCTGACTCACAGCGACTCCGCAGGGCAGAGTAGGATTACTGTGGTAGTCCGGGTGGGCTAGAGACACAAATCCAGGGAGACTCTTATGTGTATAAGAAAGAGCTTTATATACAAGAGCAATTGAATAGTGAGAAAACATCCCAGCCCAGCCCAGATCTAGTCCATAAGTCCGATATTAACCCATATGTCTGATACCAATCTACAAAGTCCTCTTCAGACTTACAAAAAATGCAATGACATCGAATGCAGGAAGATCACAGGCCAGTGGGTGCAAAGTCTTGTGGATCCAGTGGCATTATAAGCATCTCAGTGCTGGCAGGGGTCTCCATGTGGCTTTTCCAGCTCAGAACACTAGTGTAGCTCCATGTGTCTTGTAAGCTGCTATGTCTCCCAGGGAGTGAGCTGAGAGAGTCTCCCACCTCCAAGGAGGAATAGAGGAATTCCTAGAATCCTCAGGAGAGGCCATGCCCACACAGAGGCCTCATTGGCTATATTCTGATTGACAGGCTAGACGCCATCCCTACATTCTTAATCCTCAAATTGACACCGATTATGTAACTACCACAATGACCCTGTAGGGTTTCTCAGCAGACGGTCACATCGCGTTCCTGTGGCGCGGTTGGTGGGCTCTAACTGCCAACCTTTCATGAGCAGCGGTGGGCTTCCTCCACCCCTGCACCAGGGCTTCTCCCTCTATGTAGACAGACTGTATTGTGTCTGTAGGTTTCATTTCAACATAGTCAACAGTCACTGCAAACCTTTGTCATCTAAAGGTCAGACAGCACGATGGCTCACGATGGTTACAGCTTGGGACTCTGTTCCGCACTCATCCCCTTGGTGACTTAAACCTTTTGTAGACAACTCAGCAGCGCCACGCAAGCACACTTTCTCTGAGCACTCCTCCTGGCTGTGGAGTGCCTCGGAATGAAGGGCCTTATGCTTACAGATGATACAAACTGGTGGTGGTTGGAGGGAGGGGGGGCGGGGGGCGGGGGCGGCGGCTACCTTTAGGACAATGAGATTGAAGTCCAGAGTGAGCTTGATAGGTAAATTGAATAGAAACCACTCAGGGGAGATGTGACAGCTGGTACACTTCAGAAGAAACCATCAAAGGCAGATGCAGTCTCTCCTCCTTGGAGGCCAGCGACACCATTGTCGTCAATTATGTATGCATGCCTCGCCTCCTGAACGCTGCCCACCTGCCTGTTTGGCATATGGTGGTGGCTTGCATGTTGCTGTGATGCTGGAAGCTATGTCACCCACCACTATTTCAAATACTAGCAAGGTCACCCATGGAGGATGGGTTTCAGAGGAGCTTCCTGGCTAAGACAGACTAGGAAGAAAGGCCTGGCAATCTATGTCTGAAAGGTAGCCAATGAAAACCCTACAAGTTACATCGGAATGCTGACTAATTCACTTGCTCTGTAGCTCTCACCAAGAAGGCCTTATCCCTGGAGGAGAGCCTTGGGCTTGAGGAGGGCGAAGGCCAGAGAGGGTGAAGGTGAGACAGACTGGCACAACAGCCACAGAGATGGACTTGGACATGCTGAAGACTGTGACGACGACATGGGACCAGGCAATCTCTCTTTCTGTTGGGCACTGCCCTGAAGGTAGCTCATAAGAACGTTTTCCAAACATTTCTGTCATTGCAAAAGTCAGTCGCTTTTGATGAACTGAGGACTGGCTTCTGTGTAGATGGGGACAGGGACGGTCATGGGCCCTAGATCGAGCTCTGATTCC